CCTCGTGGAGGGTTAAAAAGGAGACAGATTTCAATTTTGTAGCGCCAACTGTTCGAAAGTTATTCAGGAACAACCAAAAGACGAGAACGGAGAACGGATCATTTCTCTACCAACGGCGATCCCATAAGGCCTACCGTTAATGAGATATAAAATTTTTATACGAGCGTAGGCACTTTCGAAAATCGATGAAATCGAAAAACAAGGCACTCAAGTAGGAGTGCACGCAGCTGAGTCAGTTTCGCTTGACGTATACGATCTGTGGTCCCGGCGATATCATCGGAATTTTATTTATCGAATTTGTGCGCGGAAGCGGATAGTGCAACGTACGAGTTGCAATGCGACGCGATTTTTCGAAATACCTAAAAAAAAAACGAAAATTCGAAGCTTTATAATGAAAGGGTTCGCGCTCACTTATAAAAATTTATAAGTTTCAGATGACCCTCCAACTTACCGCGCCATACGTTAAACATATCATTAGTTGCTGTTTGGAAGTTGGCAAAAACTAACAATCCCAGTCAGTTCTCAGATCTTCGTCCAATCAGTATCCACATCAACGATCTTTAGATTACTCAAAAGCCTTTGATCGGCTTGACCATAAACTTACGTGCGCCGATTTTTTGAAAACAACTTAGCTAACAGATATCAGAGAGTTACCCTCGACTATGTAAATTCTGAATTTCTCACTGTTTCATCAGGTGTGCCGCAAGGTTCCGCCCTTGGACCTATATTATTCTTAATTTATATTTCTGATATTTATACATCCGTCGAATATTTGAATTTGCATTCATTTGCTGATGACACCCAGCTATTCTACTCCTTCGATTCTAAATTATGTAATCAATTTGGATTTGCGTAACTTATTTCTATATTCTTCTAAGCATAATCTTCAACTTAATGCAAAAAAATGCAGTGTGATGTCCTTTTCTCCTAACGGTGAAGGTTTGAAATTTGTGAATTGTAACAAAAACCTTGGTGACATATTTTATTGTAGACTAAGCTAAATAGTTTTAATACAAGAAAAAGCGGTCGCTACTTTTACCACAACACGGCGTTTTCTCAAAAATCTTTTTCATATAAAGCCCCTAAATTGATCAACAAATTAACGATAGATGTTTTAAACGACTCAATTGAAAGGAAAAAAATTCACCCGTTGAGACGGGCGCCGCTGCTTCGACTTCGACTTCGACGGGCTTTTCAATGGACAAATTGATAAGTTAAACTGTTCCCAGACAAATAGTAATAAGAGCTGACGCATCGGGGTGCTTTTTGTGTCGAGCTCTTCTTGTACCGACAACAATGGTGTGTTCGAACTAGAAGACAATGAGACGATCCCCTACGTACGCGCCGCTGGGGTCGGAAAAAAGCGCCCGTTTCAAGTTTCCGACGTTAAATTTTCGAATCAGACAAAACAATGCAACGAATCGCTAATCATTTTTAATCACCGAAAAAGTGTAGATTTTAATCAAGCGTGATCTTCGTTTTACTAAAAAACTAACCAACTCCTGTTACTTTCGAAAATCGATGAACTCGAATTATCGAAAGTATCTGCGTTCATATAAAAAGTTTATATGTCGGTAACGGTAGGTGCTATGGAATCACCATTGGTACAGAAATTATCACCGTCGAAAAAAAAATTTTTTTTGTCTGTCCGTTCTCCGTGCTCGTTTTTTGGTTTTTCCTGAATAAAAAATAGGGCTAGTTGGTTCAAACGGTGTCACAGGCCGCATCAAGAGCTACAATTTTTGTATTTGCGGTTTTCGTCTATCACATACACTGCTCGGGATTTTTGAAAAAATCCATATTGAAATCGTGATTTCGGGGGCTGTCAAGACGCGATGACGTCATCGATTATCAAGGCGCACTGCATGGTTTCAGAAAAAAAATATTTTCTCGAAAACCATTTACTATTTCCAAAAAATTCTTGAACTAGGACCCGTGGAAAATTCAGGGCTATAACCTTTACTTCGAACAATGACTATCATACACAATGTGCAAAAAATCTAAAATATCCTAAAAATTTCCGATTTTGTGGGTAAATTATTGGCGAAAAATGAAAAACCGTTAAAGATAGGATATTTTTATTTGAAGAGTATCGTAAACCGTGTCATGAGAGAGTTCCAGGTTTCGTCGATTATACGGGGTGCGAGATTTATTTGAGCAAATTTTAATATTTACCGTTGTTTGCTGTAACTTTGAAGTTCGACGAGATGTGAATGACATTTTGTGCATCGTGCATGCACAATTAAATAACATCGATTTAGCGAAAGTTCCATAGTGGTCCACAACAGCACGATAGAAAAACATTGCGTTCCGTTCCCACGAGAAACCGGGAAGCTCTTTCTTTTTAGAATAAAAAGCTGCTTCGTGCTAAGCGCTACGAACTTGCCCCGCCCAGCCACGATTTTTGAAAGCAATCTTGTTCTAAATACAACTGTAAAAGAAGAAGAAAAACCGTAGTTTTTAGATTTTAGGGTTAGAACTGCATTTTTTTATTACTCCGCATTCGGAAAAAACTCCATCGGCGCGCCACTGGCCCGAACCCGAGCCTGCACACCTGGATGCGAATGCGTGAATTCCCTTCAAAGAATTGACCTAACTCCGGCATCCTTATTAGTTGGTAGGACGATTTCGCACAAAAGGATGATGGCCGACTTACACGACGGGAGTGGGGGGCAGCCGGCGGCCTGTTTTGCCGATAAGTCTCTCTCTTGGCAATTATGTACGCCGTAACAATTCAATTAGAACATTATTAAAAAGCAAAGCGAAACAATAAAAACCGGTATTTCCGATCGCTGCCGACGTTCTCGGTGGGCAAAAAAGGTCGCTGCGGCGCCGCCCCGGACGTAGCTTCGGAACTTTTCACGGTCACATCCTCCGCGGCTTCAACTGAACAACCGTCACCTGACGCACAACGTCTTAACTTGCCCCCGAAGTGAACTTTATTATACGTCACGCGATACTCTGCTTTTATCCCGCGCTGAAAAGCGCCCCAGCATTGTCATTCGAGAAGACGCTTCCGCTCCAACAGGTCCGCGGGTTGTGAGAACGCGATCCCAACGAAAAGGCGGCCGTGGAAATCGGAATTTTCGACCGTTGAATGACGTTAGTCGCGTCGCTTTTAAATTAGTTCGCGAAACGTCCGCCTCCATCAACTAGATGGCGCGATTGGCGCATTCCCTGTCCGTTAATCGTCATTTTGTCGGGTGCCTAATAATTTTGTTTTTGTGCAAATAAGACGTAAGTAGTATCACGCTTTGCATGCCTGCCAACTAGATTAAATCTACGCGGATTTAACGCGTTTAAAATTGACTACGCTACCTCGTGTATCGCACAATGGAGCCGTCATTTGTCAGTTCGGGTATTTCGGAGTTTTGTGTGCCGGAAAGCCGGTGCTCCGCATGAATGGACCTTTTAACAGCGCCGGGGGCGTAACAACGGATCCGATCACAAAAGGCACGATCTGTTTGACATCGGAATGACAAATCGCCCTTTTATGACTGCGTAAAATCGCTTGCGGAATCCGTCAATGGTCGCGTTGAAAGGTCGAGATTACAAACATGTTTTAATTTCCGAGTCGGATTTGTACCTGCCCCGGGATCCGCAAGCGTTGCAAAAATCGGTTAACCATGTGGTATTTTTTTCAAAAAAATTATCGCACGCTATGAATTAGTGTTTTCCATCGATGGTTTAATGGAGACGGCGCGCGCGATATATACGTCATCCGCCAGAAAATCGTCAAGCCTTCGATAGCTCAGTTGGTAGAGCGGTGGACTGTAGTGGGAGAAACGTGTCGGACATCCATAGGTCGCTGGTTCAAATCCGGCTCGAAGGATACTTTTTTTTTTTGCTTGAAAAATACTCTTTTGACGCTGATAATAATTTTTCTGAAGGTGGATATTATATTTTCACACACATTTACATACAGGGCAGCCCATCACATTTGCCTCCACTTACGAGAAATTACCGAAACTACCAACCACAAATATTATAAATATAAAATATGTACTATGTACTATGTTTTTAGGTTTTTGTTAATTTGGACGAATTAAGAAAATAATTTTTTTGCCAAATGGAAACCATAAGGATAGGTAGGTTCTAATAGGTGTTAAATTTTTTACACTTCTCTATAACTTTTGTATTTAACATTTATATTAAAATGGTTAATAAAAATTGTAGGTTTTTGTGGGAAAAAATCGAGATTTTTCAATGTAGCATCTAATTCAAATTCTGTTGCATATATCATCGAATCACGGTAATATCAAATACCGCCATAGCAGATGTGAAAACTAGTATTTCTTCTTGGAAAAATTTAAAATATCGGAAAAAAGCTATTGGAATTGTAAAAAACGTACGTTTCACCAGTCTAAAGGCTATTTAATTGATTTTTCGCTATTTTTATTACTCTTAATTCGTTTATTCATTCATTGAAGTTTGTTCATTTTTTCATAAAACCGGTGGATAGACTTGGGCCCGGAGAATTTTATACTCGCGTCGCACTTTTTCGGTGTTCGATGACCTTGCAAGGCCGCCCGCGATTTCTGATGCGGTCGGGCGGTATCGCGTTGCTACGTCACGAGAGCGTAAACAATGGTGAATGTTAAATTGACGCAGGCTTCCTGTCCGTGGCTCGTATCGATGCGATCGTGTCAGATCGCGTTGGTAACGTAACGATAATAATTTGTTTCAACCGGAGCCGGTTTTATAGCATTTTTCTCAACGCGAGGGAGTAATACAGTGTAAATGTCCAATGGAAAATTATATAAGTTGAATAAGAAAAAGTCCAAACTATTTAAATCTGTTTCTAATTAAATATGTCATGTTCTTCTTCATTTGTAAATAGTATTTATTGGTCCAACAAAGGGTAATGCCCAATTTCGTCCAAAAACTATTGACAAAAATTAGCACGCCAACCGTTTGGTCGCGACGTTGTCGGATTTTCGAAAAATCGCCGTTCGGCGGAAAACGAAAACTAAAAGAAACACACATTTTACTTTAGGGACGTGGTTTAATGTATATATATTAGCTAGCTGGGATAGTCTATGACGCGGGCGCTATTTACATATTCTTTACACTTAAACTTAAAATAAAACAGTGAGCAAGTGCCTAAAGTCGGCGTCGTTAAACAGCGAAAAACTGCACGATTTTGCAACGTCGCGCAGTCGGGATATATTGTTATCGCGCCCGTCGATCCGGGGAAATAAACGACAACTTGGCAACGCCGCGTTCCCGACCCGTTTTGCGTATACGAGGCGGCCTATTACTTTTTAACGCCCCGTACACACGGGGTATTTCAAAAAAAAAAAAAACGTCAAAATCTGTTGTTTAAAAATAATCGTTTTTTTTTTGAGACACCCAGTTTATGGGCGAAGGATCTTTCGGCGGAGGCAACGCGCATTGTCTCGACGCCGAACGACCCCCCACCCCCCTCCCGACGAAAATATCGCGTTTTTTCGAAAATAACAGCAATCGACGCGAAAAAAATTTCGAGTTTTCGGAGGCTTTCGATGCCCGTCAAGTGTCTTTCAATTAAATATCATCTAATTGAGACTTTTTTTAAACGCTTTGCGAACCAAGCAGCTGAACTACTCTTTCACATCATTCATAACACAAATCCACATATTATTATTATTATTGCGGATTTTTTTTTATAAATTTATCTATGAAGATTGGCAAGGGTACTCCAATACAGCCTTTCCCAAAAAGTGCCATTCGTAATATTTTATTGTTGTATCTATTTTCATTAAAAATGATCTTTTTCCGCTATATTTGTGGCGCCACATGTACTTGGTTTTTGACCCAACGTCTTTACAGGGTGTTTTCTAAAAGTTCATTTGTGCCTGCGTTCTAAACGTGAACGTTTTTAATGAAATTTGGCGTACATGTACTAGACCTCAACATTTTAAACTTTTTTGTTTTTGGAGATATGGCCAACTTTTTTTCCAAGTGACGTATAAAACAAAACAATATCAATTGTCTGACATATAAGCCTACATCATATTTTTAAAAATGGAACACCGTGTATATTATATATGTGTATTTTCATATAATTTGATAGAGTGTCCCGACTGACAAAGGAAATATATATATGTTTTGACATATGACGAAACAGAGATTTCCAAGGCTGCAAAGAAATTTGCACAAAAACGGTAACGTATCAAATCCTAAAAAGGTATGCTGGAATCATATTGTTTGAAATGAAGAAAATAAGGCAAACATACTAGGATTCTATGAAGCACGTTCAGTTTCCTCTATTGCTAGAGTATATGAAGACACAGGTATTTCTCTGGGATTTGAGTTTTGAAAGAATATAAATATAATGCATTTAAATTCCGTTAAACTCAAAAACTAAGTGCAGAACAATGACAAAAGAGTTGTGTTTAGATTTTTTAAATAGACGTAATGAGAACAATAATTTTTTGAAAAACATTTTATGGACTGATGAAAGTTCGGTCTTTAAGTAATACTAGAAAAATACGTGAAATAAAAACCCAGGGGTACCAATCAATTAATGTATGGTGTGGTATCATAGATGGGTCGGATATTTATATATCAAAAGTATATTATTTGCAACTCCTAGAGCACCGACACAATATATAAAAAATTCACCCCTAAATATATGAGCGCTGCTTATATGGCAAGCAAGAGGCAAGAGGGTGTCCCTCAAGATATCATACAATTAGGGTGATGAAAAATGGTGGTCACCTACGGCAGTATTTAGAATAGTTAAAGAATTTTTTACTTTGTTCTACTTTGCAGTCAGTCACGTCACTTAATATGTTACCGTTTTCTGCCAATTGCTTTGCGAGCCTTGGAAATATCTGTTTTGAATGAGCTCAGTGCTCTGTATAAAGGCTAATATACTGACGACGAGCCGCGGTTGCACTTTTATTATACAGAAAGTAGACTCGCACTCTTTGAAATAAGAACGCACGGGACATTTTCGAAAGTCCTCGAAAAAACGAACCGCCCTCTGTATTTTGCGCGACGCTCCCTTTTCGGGCGTACGCAATTTTTCGACTACGCGTTTCGTCACAACGACAGGAACTTCATCAGGGCGTCGTAGATGAGACGGGGGTTGATGGTGCCGTCCGCGGTATACCGCACCCCTCTCAGCGAGCCGTCGTCGTTGCTGACCACTCCATACTCGCCTACGATGAACCCGTCCGCCGTTCTTTCCTCCACCCTGTACTTCCGGTAGTTCCGGCCCTCCACCACGTAGCCGACCTTCTGGCCGTCCTCCTCCTTGGAGGCGGCGTCGATAGTCGGCGTCTTCGCCTGGACGCCGTGCGTTCTACCGTTCGTTTCTACGCTGAGGGTCTCGTCGACCTCGTAGTTTTGCTCCGGCCGGCCGTAGACGCGTCTCCCGTCGGAGGCGGCGCCCTTGCCCGCCGCCTCCGGCGCCGCCCGGATGACGGTGCTGTAGGAGACGGACCTCGCGCGGCCCGCCGCCTCCCGCGGCCCGTCGTGGTAGATGAAACTGTGATGGAACGGGGGCGGCTGGCGGGCGCCGCCCCCGACTCCTATCAGCTCGGACACGTTGAAACGAGGCGTGGCCAGGTCGCGGTTGTCCCGCGGGGCGACGCTTTTCGCGTCTGCGGGCGTCGTCGTCGTCGGGGGCGGCGCCTCCGTCGTCTCCTCCGGCGAAGTCTCCCTCGAGGCGCGCGCGTAGGGCTCGGTCGCGTCCTCGAAGGGCTGGGGGCGGGGGTTGCGGCGCATCGAAGACTCGAGGAACACGGAGAGGAAGTCCTGGCCGGCGAGGACGCCGTCGTCGGGGGCGGATTCGCCGCCCAAGGGCGCGCTGGTCACGCGCGTCACCTTGTGAAAACCAAGAATTAGTATACAGTCGAAAAAGGGACTGCTTTTTTTGACTTAATAAACAGTTATAGGCACTTGAAAAATAAACAACACGCATATGTGTTCTGTAATATTTATTTAATTTATATACATATTTTAACATCTACTTAGGAACATTATATATAAATATTTCAGAACTACATTTAATGTTTCAAATAATCGGTCATTTTCTTTTGAATTTTTTTAGTATGTCAATACGTATCTCGTACTCTGGCTTGCATTTTCACCATTTCTTGTTCTTCTTCTTCTTCTTGGTGCTCTTCCTCGTCTTTTCTAGCTTGTTGTAATATGGATTCCTCTGTCAAGTCTGCTGTTGTAGGCAAATCCTGACCTATCACCGTAAAATCTTGCAACTCCTCACTTGTAAACGTAATTGTTGTTTGAAACTGCTGTGTCCACTAGCTTAGTGGCTGATCATCTTCCAAGTCCTATTCGCATTCTGTCCCGGTAATAAGTCCTGCATGACTAATAAAGTTGACTGCATTTGTCTTCGGACTCGATCATTTCCACTAAAATGTTTTACCTGTATCGACTCTTAAAACTTTTTATTAGGCTCTGGTCCATCGTAATACACTTGTTACTTTCGAACATCGATGAAGTCGAATTTTTCGCAAGTAGGCCCTCTGGGATCGCCGTTGGTACAGAAATGATCACCCTCAAAAAAAAATTTTTTTGTCTCTCTGTTCTCCGTTCTCGTCTTTTGGTTTTTCCTGAATAACTTTCGAACCGTTGGAGCTACAAAATTGAAATTTGCCTCCTTTCTAAGCTTCCAAGAGCCACATAAGTTTATAAGAAATGGCCCCGATCCAACGCCGATATCCATCTTTTTTTCGCGATTTTCGACTGTTTTCTGGATCTTGCTATGAAACTCGATAATTGTCCGAAATTTGAAGCAATCGACTTCATATTTCCACGTATGTGCACCTTTGCCCCGTGACGGAACCTATTGAAAATGGGGGGGCTGGCGGGTCGGGAAATATTCTAAAAAAATAAAAAATCGCGCGTGCCAGGGTCTACAAAAAACATCATTTTTCAAAAATTGTTTAAGAAACCAAATAAAATTCTTGAACCAGAAGTAGCAGAAGATACGACTCTATAAACTTTTATTCTTGACAATTTTTCAAAAATATACAGGGTGCGCGGCAAATTCAAAAAAACTGAAAAATGGGTCCCCCTATTATTTAAAATCGGTTATAACTGAAAGACTATGATTCAGATCTTACTTTCTTTTATATTTAGATATAGAACTATCAACACAATAGGAAATTTTTTAAAAAACAATAAAACGAAGTGCCCAGGTGTCTACAGGTCGAAATGCGAATCTTGTCCTAAAATTCATATTGGACAAACAGGTAGATCCTCCAAGAAACGCATTAACTAACATGAAAAGCGTTTAAAAACAATAGTCTAGATTCTAATTATGCTACACACTTAAACACATTTTTGACGACAATTCTGATATTTTACATGCAACCACAAAAAGTAGAAAATTAAATCTATTGGAAGCCATGGGGATTAACAAAATGAGACATTCAAATGTATTGCTTAACGATCAGTTAGATTTAAATTTAATTAGATTTAAATACCTCTCCTTTATTGAATTCTCGCAACAACATTAATTAAGGTTTTATGGTCATTTTTCGGTATATATAGTAGCAGGTAGTTTGTAAATATTACATTTGATAAAGACACGGTGTTGTCGAAACAATTGTCATGTGAAAATATATAATTTCGTGGAAATCTGAACTTTTAATAATTCTATGTATGGAAGGTGTTTACATTTATCGTTATCTTTCGTGGGTTGCTTCTATATATCATTTTCGCGAGAGAAAGAGAGATTGTCTTACGCGTTACGATAGGCGATTGTTGCGCAAACATTTAAGGTCACGGGTGGATATATCGACGACACTCCCTTGAAACGTTACGTTCGCTGAAACTAGACACGCATACATACACACACACACGGGAAGAAAAGGAAAAACAACCAAGGCCCGATTTTGCCAGCTGTTATCGGGCTCCTATCACTGGTTTCATGACATTTTCTTAAATGAGACACCCCGTATATATCAAAACCATAAAATATATAGAACTCAGAGCGAGAACTAAGACCAAATTAAGACACCCCTCTATCTTATCTCAATTAGCAAATAAATACAAGAAGTGTTGGACCCTACGTGTATATTTTATTCACAGTATTTTTATGTATACAGAGGACAATAACCGACTTTATTTTTTAAAATGGAACACCTTGTATTTAACGCTTTTATTGGGTTTGGAATTTAACTCTGTATCATTTTATGTAGATAGCTTTTATTACAAACATTGACGGAAAGCGCGAATCACCTTTTTATTTTAAAAAGAGGGCGCTTCGCGGATTCTTGTCCTAGAGGGACGCATCGTTTTTCTATCGTGTTCCTGCGGACCACTATGGAAAAAAACCTAAAAAAAAATCAAAAACTAAAAAAAAATACTTCGCGTTATTTCATTGTTCAAAATTTAAGGAGTGTAAGTGCGGGTCCAGATTCCAATTTCTCTCCCAAGTCTGAAGTCTTCAGCTGCAAATTTGGAGTACTTATTATGTTTTTTAATATTTGCACGGAATATCGCGAACACCATGTGTTTATGTGGGCTATATCGTCATGTAAAAGAAACTGACATCTAAAACACATATTTGAAATTTTTTTAATAATAGTTTCAGTTCTTTTGAATTTGTATATTTTTGAAAAATTGTCAAGGATAAAAGTTTATGGAGTGGTTTCCTCTGCGGCTTCTGGTTCAAGAATTTTTCCGGTCTCGTAAACGGTTTTTGAAAAATGGTAAAAGTATTTTTGAAAAATTAAAAATCGCGTTTGCAAGGATCCAAGAGAAAGATCATTTGATCGTTTGTGCTATCGAAAAAATTCTTGAACGGGAAGACGCAGAAGATTTGGCAACATAAACATCTATTCTTGACAATTTTTAAAAAATATCCAAATTCAAAAAAAAACTGGAAGATGGGTCCCCCCATTATTGAAAAGTGGCCATAATTAAAAGACCGTGTTTCGCAAATCAGTTTCTTTTACATGACGATATAGCTCGCATTGACAGCTAAAACTTTTGTATTTAAGATTTTCACCTATTGTACAGGATGTTCAAGATATTAAGTGCTATATTCAAAAATTAACAGGTGTCTCAAATTTGCAGCTATCGACTTCAGATTGGGCAGAAGGGTAGAAGTCCACACCCACATTTCATCTGTCATAACAGAACTTGCTCAAATCCCGCAAAGCAATTTTTTAAAAATTTTGATTTTTTTTTGTCATATTTTGACTTCCAGAAAAACATTATTTTCTCGAAAACTATTAACCCGATAGACAAAATTTATCAACCAGGAGATGGAGGAAATCCGGAACTATATCCATTTCCATTACATACAGCGCTTTCCAATTATAGACAAAAATCTAAAAGACTACAAAAAATTCTTGAACCAGGAAGCGTGGAAAGTCCAGGGCTATAACCTCTAATTCGAACAATGATTGTATCATATACAGGGTGTGTCGTTTATTTGCAAAAAATCTAAAAGATCCTAAAAATTTCCGTTTTTGTGGCTAAATTATTGGCGATAAATGAAGTTTTGAAGTTCGACGAGATGTGAAGGACACTTTATACAGGGTGCATGCGCAATTAAATTACATCGGTTTTGGGAAAGTTCAATAGTGGTCCGCATGAGCACGATAGAAAAACACCACGAGAAACCGCGAAGCTCTTTGTTTTTAAATAAAAAGCTGCTTCGCGCTACGCACTACGAACTTGCCCCGCCCAGCGGCGATTTTTCGAAAGCAATCTTGTTTATTTACGTAGGCGAGAACAGGGTACTCGAAAACCGACAAAAATTGCGTAATCGCAATGCACACATATATATATATATATATTGGCGATTACGTGCGATCAATAAAACCCTCGAACGGTAAATGGCGGTCTTCGATAGGAATTGACGCAATGAAAAAGTCAATTGGACTGAGGCAGACAAACCGATAGCGCTTATGTCAATTGTTTACGTCTCGGCGGATGCCGCAGAATTACCTAAATGCAGATGCGACACCAGACTTTTTTTTCTGGTTTCAGTTAAATGCCATTCCTGTGTTTCCTATAGATTAATATTAGCTAAGGTTAAATTAAGTCCAGCTGTTTTTGTGTTGTTGGCATTTTAAACCCTTTTTTTTTTCAATTCACTCAATTTGTTTGATATTGTGTTTTCTAGGTTTTACAGGTTTCTGTCTATTAGGAAGTGATTTCCTTAGATGAAAACACTCCACAACATATCTTGATTATCTTTCAATCAAAAGAGCGGCTAGATAGTCAATATCCTTACTACCCTCCAGAATTGAATTTCGCAAGATTTAAAAAAAGTGATACGGCACTACTCGTTTAGCGATAATTTAAAAACCACGCGACTGTCGCCATCTAGCGCTGGGTAGCGAAACCGTCGTCCTCTAGGGATGACTAAATAGGAAGACGATAGACGCCCGAAGAACGCAATTACTTTGTTAATTACTTCTTGACGGAACTTTCGTTTATTATGCAGAAGGCCTCGGGATCCCACGCTTTGCGGAAACGCACCCACATCGGTAGTTTCCGCCAATAACAAGCTTGCTTATGGACGGTCATCTTTTTTTTTTTAATCCCAATTCGAAAAACGGCATCCTAAGCCTCGGAGCGCGTTAACAGTTAGCAAGGATTTCGACTCCCTGATCGCCCGATTTTATACCTCTTGAATTTCTCACTTTTTCTTTTACACTGATAAATAAACAAGAGAGTCTATAACCGATGATTTTTGATGATGTGACAATTCTTTTTTAAATTACATTAACTCATTATATAATCGTATACAATTCACTATCGAGATTGAATAGGATAACTCTATAATTTATATTTATATAATATAAACCTTCACACACGGACAGACACAGTCATAAATAACG